GACGTTTCTCGTACTTGGTCTTATGCAGACTTTCCAGCACTTGTACAATCGCCCTGTTTTAATTTTTGCGTGTCCAGGTCAAGAGACAGACATCGGTGCTAAATATTTTGATACAGAGAGAGGCTTCTCCAGCAAATATATGACTAAGATTAATGCATCCGACAGGTTTATCCACCCACAGACATGTTTGAAGAAGAAACCTGCAAGTCTTGATCATCAAGCCACTTTAAATAGGGGATTTGTTTAATGATTCCCTAAATTCTCTAAAATAAAAGTTGGCCACCGTCTCTAAATGAGATTGTTGATGTATGGAGCCTATATACTTGTGACAACTACCGGAGGGATAGGAGAGGCGGCAACCCCGGTGGTCAGTAAATGGGCAGGGTCAAGGGGCAGGGCCTATGCAGGAGGTTTTCGGACAGAGCCGTTGGGAGAAAATTTTGATTATGCACTTTGTATTTTTATGGAATAGGGTGTTTCCAATATTCTTTTGGAGTTCCTCTTTTTTTTTTTTTTTTTTTTTTATTTATTATTATTACAGCTTGTCTTTTCAATACCATTAAAGCTACAATGAATACAAATATTAGAAGCTGGATGATGGCCAAAGAGAAAGAAACATTCTTCAAGAAGGTCAACGTGCTATTTGTCAACCGTATTCAGAGTCATTTTGAAAGCTCAAGTGGAACTTTGAAATTTAGTCTAAACAAACCAATTGTTGACAATATTATTGGCGGATTGTTATTTCAACCTAACAATTTGGAAGGTGATTCACTGTCTTGGGTGTTGAATTTGTTTAAGGAAAATGAGCCTAAGCTCAAAGCTTCTACTGACAAGTCTAATCTCATATCTTGTAAAGAGTGTGTCGTTGAAATCAATACTTCTAAAAGGCATTGCAACACTGTGGTACCCAACAACGTGTAAAGCAAGACCTATCTCCGATTACTGTAGTGACACATAGATTAAGAATTTGAGAACGCGGACCGCTGCTAATTTTGGACGCGTTGCGGAACTGATCAGCATTGGCAGTTGTGGACTGGTCAGAAAGCGTCTATCCACCGAGGGATTGGGAGTGGACTTTGGTTTCTACGACACCGGAAGGGCCATAGCTAAATTTAAAACGAAAGCAGGCAGCAGCCAGTCTCACCTCCCACCCGATTTGTCGAAGTCGGTATCAAATTCCGTGCAGATAAAAAGGGATCCTGGACCGTCGAAAGCAAGGAGAAGTGAGTAGATTTGAGACAGTGGCGGCAATTTGCCAATTTAGATACGGGTCGGTGATTGGAACCACGTGAAGATTGTTCTGCGTGGAGCTCTGCTGGCGACCCTTGCCTTCTTCCAGTTCGGGCCCACGCTGGTGCTGCAACATGATGCAGGTCGTCCGTGTAAGCCACACAGGCCTCGATTACTACTGGTGCACTGTCTTCTATCTATTTTGTCGAGGCGAAACACATGAAAATATACAAATATCACACACAGTAGCATTGGGGTCAGTAAGAATCCAACTCCAAATTGGCTACTAAGGATGAACACGATTTCCCACATTTGTGCATCCAAAAGGAGAGTGCGGACACATTGATACACCTAAAATAGGTTGAACTTGTTGCTGACACTTGATATCAAACTCACAACCACCTCAAGACACTTGTCCACGTTTGTCATGAATGGAGTCTTCATGGCACATGGTATACTCGTTTAGGTTTTGAACATTTATTTTAAAATATGGTTCCATGTGTTATCCTCGTGTTGTCTCCAAAGTTTGAGGTAGCAAAACTATTTGTCTAGACTTAATTCTAAGCAAATATTAATCAAAAAATGTTAATCAACTAGATAATTTTCATTTATGGGTCAAGTTTAATGATGTACTAAAAACCCTTGTCATTAGTTTTTTTTTTTTTTTTTTTTTTTCTTTTTGCGAGGGTGATAAGTATATATATATATATATATATATATATATAACCCAAAAAAATCACGATGCAAATAATTTAACTAAAAAGTGTGCAAATGCAATTCTATTAAAAAAATATGTAGAAAAAATAAAGCTAAAAAAAGAGGAAGCATACAAATAATAGTGATAATAAAAATACATGTAAAACTAATTTTTCAAAATATACATGTAACTTTAAAAGCAAGGAGAAGTATAAAATAAAAAATAAAGAAATGAGCACACACACAAACACAATTTACATGGGTAAGTATGATTTGTCCACTCTCTTGTTTCTTTGTTTGTTGGTTTCAAATATGTATGAGAGAAACAATGACACTGCAATGCTGAATTACTAAAAATAAATTGATCATGTACAGACATAAATACCTACAGAAACTGAATGAAATAAGAAGGTTCCCAAAAAAAACATTACAATAATCAAGTAAACGAGCAAAAAAAAAAAAAAAAAAAAAAAAAAAATCAAATGTCAAATATGAAATTTAAGTAGTATGTTCACTTTTTTTTTAAAAAAAAAAATAAAGTAAAATAAAAATTGCATATTTTTTTTACCAAATTTCAAATTTACATTAACTAACAGTCACAAGATACAAATTCTGGGGATAATTCCAGGAGTATAGTACATTTTGTTTAACAATTTATGTCATAGACCTCCATGTAGTTTATGTCAAATGTTTTTTGAAAATTTGAAACTATTTTGTTTTATGGACCGTTGTACCAATTCAGAATTCAAAATGTTAAACGTTTTGAATGCTGGTGAGGTGTCAATAGGCCATGTGAGGAATAGTGAAGAGTAACATGCAGTTCTGGAAGCATGCAGGTCCTTTTATGCATCACAAGATGCAGGTGAAGGGAAAGCCCTCTCCTCTATGGATCTGTGGCTGTCAGATGCTGGATAGGGCACTGCCACATAGGATCACTGTTTTGGCCACGTCAGACGAGGACCATTAGGGCAGGCTAGTGGTGGTGACCCTATGTTTTGAGTACTTGATATTTGTGCACTTTTGGACTCTCCTTGCCCATGCCAATATGTCTAACAATGACACTGGATATAATGGCAATAGTCTATACTTGGAACACATCCTATTAGATGCCATGACTCTCTACATGAGTCCTTCAAACTGCACTAAAAAAACTGGATTGTCATGATAAAAAAGAGTTATAATTAAGTGCATTGTATGTCTTGACACCAGATTGCAATTCATTACCATTCAAACATATATGCAAAAACATATGTTAAAATTTTTTTTCTTGTGAAACTTCTAATAAGAAAATGTTCATTGATACCCACCTTGGAAATTTTACTTCCAGTTGCCTAATCACATTATTACTGTGTAAGTTCCACTTCATTTGGGCTATGGAAGCTGTAAATCACACCTAAAAAGATGTTATAGAGTTTCTTAGGTTTCCCAGACCAAAAGCCACTTAGCTTTATGGACCTGCACTCCAAAAACACATTGTGACTGATCCTGACCCCAACTCATGGGATGCAATGCCACCACACCAAGAATGGTGTTGTGTTTGTTTGTTGTTGTTTTGTTGTGGTGATGGTGTCTAAGTGTGTTTTATTTGAATGACCCAGAAAGGAAAGGGGTCCAAGGTGCCAGCCCAGAAAATTCTGACAAGGCCATTTTATCGTCCAGGAACAGTTTACTGTAGCAATTCTTGTGTGTAGAAGTTAAAGCACTGGGAGGATCCATGGTCATTGTAGTGAACTAACCAAAGTGACTTTAAAGACATGGAGTGCCATTCTAATGCAGAAAAAGCTCTTCTCCAACAATGGTATACATTCAATGAACCTGGTCAGTGTGAAGCACCCACAAAATCAAAAATATTGAGTGAAGTAAGAAAAAATAAAGTAGTAATGACTAAAAACATTCAAGTATTGCTGTACCACAATGACTAGGTTCATGAACCCTGATTAAGTAGACTGCACTGAGTGTGTGGAGGTGTTCAGAGCAATGGAACATGTATCATGTTCTTATTGGTGGTTTAAAGGACAGACCCAGTTCAATGCATGTTGCCTTGGAAAGGGCAGTTCATGATGCCCCAAACCCTAATATAGGGGGATTAACTACAAAAAGGCAAGTTAACACTATTGATTGAAATTAGGGATAGCAAGGCAGAGCAAGTACCCAAGAATTGAGCAGCATTTCTGCCTGAGGAAAAAAAGAGGATTTTCAGTAAGCCCTCATGCAAAGGCTTTGCTTTGTTCCACAGATGGGTTCCAACTGAGGGTATATAGAATGTTTTAGAAGAAGACTTGTCAAGAATGTACTCAAAACATTCCAAATGAATGAACCAGACCAACAACAGATTGAACACGCTCTAATTTACATGTTTCAGATTTTAGATTTGATTTAATTTTCGGTTTGCTATGCTTTGGAGATATTTCCTTTGAAGCTCACTGCTGCAGTCATGATTGGTAAAAAAAATATATTTAAGATATAAAATGCGGAAAGATGTGAATAGAAAGAAGATGATGAAAAGAAAAAGGAGAAGCATAATGTGAAATTTGAGGTTAGGGTTCACACTTGTTGCAGAAAGTAGGATGTTTCGCCCTTTACATATTTTGGGGATAACGATCATTGTGTTGGTTCTGTCATGAATAGAAAGTGGTGGCTGACGATTGGGCTTTAGATGCGTCACCAGAGAATGAAAAAACTCATTCAGTTTCATTCATCCATTATTCCTTCCACAATCACGTTTTTCATCTGTGTCATCTCTGGTGTGTGGTGGATTCTTTGTCGCCTCCAAACGACCGAGCTGGACAGCCCTACAAACGCGTGCCTCGAATCTCACCCCATGCCCACCACCACCGTCCGACGGTTATCGTCCAGGAGACCTATTTCCGCCCCATCCTCATTCGACGATCGTCCGGGCTTCGTCGACGGAGAAAGCGACATCGTTTTCCTCGCCTCCCTTGGGCTTGTGTTTCTAACGAGCATGGTATAGGCGTCCGATCTGCGACGCAGAAGCTGACGCTGGAAGACAGAGCTTGTGCCTGACCCTCGTCTGCCTGCACTCGCGAAAGCTTCCGGATGTGCATTGCAAATCAACAGCTTCTGATTCTTCCCAGGGTGGCGGGCCTTGTGGGAAGAAGAGGGATCGCCGGTGGCTGGCGAGTAGACAAATTTCTTTTGAGAGTTTGCTTTTTTGCTTGTTTCGATTTTGCGATTGTAGCATTCGGGTAGCTGATGTGGCTGGCCCACTCGGGGTGCAGTCATTGAGGGATCTGTTCCGGGGGAGGCCCTGTAGCCAGCGGATTTTTCATGCAGTACCGTAGTGGGAGGCAGTACAGTGGTAGTCGGGCCCGGCGGAATCCACCTCCCAAGCATGAAGTGATTTTGGGAGTTGCCATAGCTTCGGCCATATAAGTCCTGCGACCATTTCCAGTCTCTATTGTGTCTCGTTCTCTCTCCAGCAGTTGCTTGTCATACTCAGAGGTCATCTCGTGACCATGGTGAGATTACCGCTTGCAGCGAAACATCACTATCACTCACGCAGCTTACAATCGAGAAGGAGATAACTACCACACGATTCTGATTGCCTTCCTTCTCACTGAGTCGAATTATGTGCTCGGTAACCCTGAGGACATCAATCAGCAGATCTGATCACTCCGGGTGCTTACACAGCTGAATCCCCTTCCATTCCTTCATTCTCTTGATCTCCGAGGTTCATTGTTTAGTGTGAGTTATTGGGGGGCCGTAAGAGTGATCGTCAGGTTGCTGGGAGCGAACCGGGCACCTTTGAGGAGTATCGCAACCGTCGTTGTCACTTTTACCCAAAGCCCGTCAGTCATTTCTCTGAAGAGCAGTGCTGCTGCCGAGTGTAAGATAGTTTCTCGAAACACAATTCAGGTCCGTTGCAGTTTAAACACGCCAGTGCAGCCTGTGAAACGCTACCAAATCAACCGACAGGTACTTTAAAATATCTCCTCTTCTAGTTGCTCCATTAATTTATGACTACTAAGCGCTCAGCTCATGTGTGCGAACTGCGGAAGCCAAGGCTCAGTCTCATGCACATTGGTGGTTGGAGTTGTTGCACTTAGAGTCTGGTTTCTTCTCTTTCGTGTTGTTTTCAAGGGGTCTGAGGAAACCTCATATTAGGAAGTAGATGACATTGTCTGGAGATAGGTCAACAAAGATGCACGAGGACCTCCTTTTTCTTCTTCCAGCATTGTGTTCGTTACCTTGCTCCTCCCCTTGTTGCCACCTTTGAATTGGCTTATCTCCACATCTCTGACGCTATGTATATTGCGAATGTCTACAGGTTTAGAAATATGGTGCTATGGGTATTTGGTTATGGTTCTCTAATTTGGAAGGCGGGTTTTGAGTACGATGAACGTGTTGTAGGGTTCATCAAGGGCTATAGACGTGTGTTTAATCAAGGTAATTTGAGAAACACATTATGTATACTACGCAGTCCTTTTAAGTGGCATTTCTCGTAATTCTGTCAGATGGTCACTACGAGCACAATTTTCACCTTTTGAATGTTCTGGTAGTTTTCACCGTTTACCAGTAGATTCGGGTTGCTTGACTGCGGCTATTAGGATGGTATAGTTGTTACGTGGGCTGTTCAGAAGATAATTCAGAGTTAATTCTTATGCTTATGTTGTGATTCTCCAGCTAGCACTGATCACCGTGGGACTCCCGAGTACCCTGGACGGACGGTCACTCTTGAGCCTGAGAAAGGTGCACAGGTATCGGGCTGTGCCTATCGAGTATCAGGCTATGATGCTGAACAACTAGTACTCTCTGTAAGTTCCATGACGTTCAACTCCAAGCAGGAATGGAATTTGGATTTGGTGTTGCGCAACTTTCATAGTGTAATTCGCTATTCATAGGTGCTGATTCTTCAACTCTTCTCTGCAGTATCTGGAGCTACGAGAGTTTGAGTATGACGTGCGGGCTTTCGTTGACTTCTACACAGTGAGTGCTTCATCTATCAAATTTTACGTTGCTCTACTTTGTGACTTGGTCTGGGACTGTTGGCACTACGACTTCTCGCTTTTAAATTACATAGTGCTTGATCAGTGTTTAAAACTGGTTGCTCATATTTTGTAGGAAGAATCACCGGAAGAGCCAGCAATTACTGGGGTTTTGGTGTATATTGGATCCCCAAATAGGTTGAAAAACCAGTACTATTTGGGGCCAGCTTCTCTCCAGAATATGGCTAGGTGAGATTTTCTTTTTTAAGTTTGTCGGTTGATAGTAAACCATATTAGAGCCTCTCTTTTTTAAGCGCGAGCGATTACATGCGTCTGTTTATGTGCTTTGTTTTGTTTTCATTTCATTTCATTTTTACACGGACAAGCGTAGGGCCCGAATAGCTCCTTATCATTGCTGTTGAACGTGGCAGCCAAATAGCAACGGCTAGAGGTCCTGCTGGTCCAAATTACGAGTACTTGTTCCGGCTAGAAGAAGCACTTTATGAAATTGGTAAGTCCTTGTTGAAGTGGATTTTGGTTGAGCCTTTCATCTCTTTTAAATTTGTTGAAAGTCATTTCTGAATTTGACTCATTCGTTCACTGTAATGCCCATGTAAACAAATGAACTTTATTGAACAACCATCCAGCATACAGGCCTATAGTGAGTAGTTTGCTATCTTGTGTATTGTGGGTTGGGGGGAGTTTTCTGAATCTATGCTGGTTTTATTTCCTAAGTGTGAGATCAGGATTTAGTTGACTCTAGGGAAGGGCTTCTATTGTGCCATCACTTACATGCTTAGATTTAAGATTGAATGCTTAAGGTGCTTGGGCATGAATGCTCCAGGTTGTGAGGACGAGTACATCATTGAACTTGCCAACGAGGTTCGGAAGCTCTTAGGAGTGTACGAGGATGGGAGTTTGGTAGCGTTCGAGGATGGAAGTTTGCAACAAGCTTTTGAGGATGCAAAGATATCACAAGGTTACGAGGACAAGACTCAGTACGAGAAGCAGATCGAGAAGTATGATAGTCTGAAGCTGCTAGATAGCTTTGATGATCGAATGCTCTTTGATGGTTACGAGAGAATTCTCTCATAGGGTCACCTTCTCATTCTATTGTTCTTGACTGTAGAATATTCACCTTCTGTTTTGGGGTGCTAGGAGGTGGCCTTTCTTAGCTTCACTGTTCCTAACCTTTTTTCTAGGGACAGCACTTATTGAAACTGACAAATTTTTCTCATGAACGATCTCATCAGTGGCCCTATTGGTGCCACCAAATTTGAGTTGGCCAGTTGGTATCTAACCTATTTTCTAATTAATCTGGTAGCGTAGCACAAAGCATTTATATTTGTATTTTGGTACATAAATCCTCATTTATCCATCTCTGCTATGATGTGGTTTACAAATCAATGTTTGTACTGCATCTTAGAAATTACTTCTGGTCGCCTGGATGAACCTACTGTAGTTGTGCATTACGAGCCCGCTGTATTTGTCTGAATCCCTTGCTGTGTATTGTGAAGGTTATTCACAATATACATAATTCCTCTGAACAAAACGGCCCAGATAAGACAAAAGATTGAAATCTTGATTCTTAGTGGAAACGTTGGTAACGCAGTTTCGAAAATTTTACATTTCATTTGCGTTGTATAAAGGTCTCTACGTAGGGAGGATTTGGCGACGACGTGGAATTTTGTGGTATTAAATGCATTTTTAAGAATGACTTGTGGGTAATGAATCATTGACTTTTAAGGATTAGCAGCAAAATGATGAGGTGGAGAGAAGGAAGTAAAACTATTCAAACGAAGCTACTGATTCCATTGAATTTTTTCCAGTCGTAGAAAGTATATCTAAAACATCATTCACAATTCCTAAACTTGTAAACGTTTCAGAACGATTTACAATCTGCAATATTTAGAAAGTGCAAATAAAATTTCCTTGCACCCTATGTACCATGAACCATGACAGTAGTTATCAGTACTTTAATAACACTTGTCTAAGCTGGTTTGGTATTCTGGTTTAACAGCACGGAGAAGGGTTGGGCATTGAACAATGAATCGTGAATTCTTGTCATGAATGATTGTGAAGGGGAAGAACTGCTGGTTTATCAAACTTCCCAGCCTCAGTCTTGAGGTGCATATATGCTAATAAATTATGTAAAATGTCGTTCGGGTTTGAAGGACATCTGTAGCTTTCACATAACATAGCTGTCTTCTACGCATCAACGCCCCGAACAAATTTCGAAAATATAATTTCATAATGGAAAAATGATATTGAAACAAGCATAGAATACAAATGTAGTACAACTGCCACAGTCAGGTAAAGCGACATTATCACTACAACGTTGTGTTTTCATGGCATCACCACTCAAATGTTCGAAAAAAGAAGCTAACAGCCGATTAACAATTTGTACCTGAACGCCTGAAGCGCCAGGTTACTTTCCGAACTACCACTATGCGGATCACTTCTAATTGTACAACATCATGCCAATGCCAGACTTCTCGTCCTGAAAACCCGCTTGGTCGTCGCCTTCTGCTCCCTATCATTTGGCGTCCCACCGGCTTCTCCGCTTCAAAATCTTCCTAACCTCATGAATTGAATTGATAGCACTTCCACAGCACTACATAATCTACGCATCCAATTTTACAATAGCTCATAGCTCACGTGTGTTCAACACAGCATGCGCCCCGCAACCAAAGACAGGATCATCCCAACCACGGGCACAATCATTGTCGGCACTGTAAGGACCCCGGCACCTTTCTCAGGTCCTGGGGCAGAACTAGGCGCCTGCGCATTGGCCAACACAGCCATGCTCAAAACGGCTGCAACAATGGTCACTGTGGACTTCAACATTGCGGACGCCATCTTCCTGAATCTGAATCTGAATCTGTTCAATCAACGCACAAACCAGGTTACGACTGTGCTCTCACGACATTCCGAAACGTTCTTTCCACGACGCACGCTCACTCCCATAAATTACAACCTAATTCACCCACACTTGGGTAACTATCAGTCGCCAAGTGTTAGAGCAAGTCCATCACAATGAATTCCTCGGCCCCCTTCATCTCGTACGTGCCCATCAAAGCAAAACAATCTGGCCCGCAACCAATCCTGCGCCTGCGCGACCAAATACCCTATCTCGTCACAATTGCTCTTTTTCGGTCAAACTCGGCTCACAGGATAACCTCGGCTCTCCAACGAAGGCTGCCAAAACTAAACCACGGCGCCAGAACAACCTAACAGCGCGACGTTGGCCTCTTGCCTGCACAACTCGCCTTCCTATGAAACTACCAACAACAACAACAACTCCATTTCACGACATGCAAAGAACTCCTGAAATCCAACACCACCACGTCCCACAAACTCCGAACCGATTCAGGCTCTGGCGTCACAGGATTCCACTCTCAGCTCCGACTCCGCCACAGAGCCGATTACCCACCTACCCACACTACCGGTGTCCATGACGACCATGACGACCATGACTCCAGCGGTTTCCAATCCGATGCCCATCTACACAACCAACACTCACGCAACAACACATCATGAAGCGCACAACTGGGCACCCACCTGTGACGGTCGACGGTGGCCTAAGGTCGCCTGAGCCACCGCAAGATCTCCTCCGATGTAATGTGGAAGCGCAATACCAAGGGCAGCAGTTCGAGCTTTGATCACCGATGCGAGCAACAACGCGGGCGCAAGCGGAGGCAATGGGGGCAGCTGTAGTAGGGAGCGAGTGGACTGGGTGCAGCTCTGGGGCTGGGGCGGAGGGTTTAGTGGATACTAGATCTGCATTTGTTGCAACTACTAACCTACTTATCTATGAGTTTGAGATGAAAATGCTAGGAAAAACAACTTTTTGCATTGGTCTTCAGATTTTGCATCTTATAGATGGTAGCATTTTTTTTCTATCAACTAACATATGTTAGACAAATCTTATAGAGATTCAATATGATTGATGCTTATCTTTTATCAATACCAATGGTTGAACATGATTGTTATGGTAATGATCTATATCATCTATGTAAGGAAAAAGAAGTAATATTAAAAAATTAATATATATATATATATATATATATATTTTGTAGTGGTTGGAGTACTTTAATATTTAGCTACATCTACAAGATTAGATATCGCATTTGTAGTTAGTGTTCTTATAAGACACAATGCACGTCCAACACTAAAACATTGAAATGACATCAAACATTTTTTATATTATTTGAAAGGCACTAAAGACTTAGAATTATACTACACACAATTAATAGATCCAAAATTGATTGAATATTGTGATACAAGATATAAATCTAATATTATACGAGCTAAATGTCTAACATGCCATGTATTCTTAAGACATAGAGCTGCAATATCATAGAAATCAGTAAAATAAACTATAACTTCAACTTCATCCAACCATGCAAAAATTATTGTCTTACATGAAGTACCTCGGAAATGTATTTAATTGCAATCAATTGATAAATTCATTCAATCAACCAAAAAACTTACATATGATGATTCTTCAATTATCTTAAATGAAGACAATAGCACTTGTATTACACAGATGCAAGTTGGTTTCATTAAAGGTAATAAGATAAAGCATATTTTTTCAAAGTATTTTAGTTATATCCATAACTTAGTTACTGATGAAGCATTTAATATCAAAAAAATTGAATCTACAAATAATGTTATTGATTACTTCACCATAACTCTTTCTTTGTGCAACCATTGCTGACTTACTTATAGCATTGGCATATGAAAGTTTCTTTTCTTGAGCAAAAAAGTTAATGAAGTCTTTAAATAATTAAAAAAAATGATATATATATATATATATATATATATATATATATATATATATTTTCATCTATGGTTTTGCCCTTGAATACAATAAGGTTTTTTAAATAAGGTTTTAATAAGGTAGCAACTATTGATCTTAGAATATTACAAAAAAATATAGATCATAATTTTAAGAAAATTTTATGTTAAATAAATATTATGATAAATGAGGAAGAATGTTGAGAACACTAAATTTAGCCAACAATTAAGAAGCAAGAAAATTATGCAATTATGTAGCTACATTGTTTAAAATGCAGTGAAAGAACTTATTTATCTTCTCTCTTTCTCTTTGTATACAAGTTAGGGAGTGAAAAAATTTGCATCTATAGAAAGTTGCCTAAGTTTTAGATATATTACAAGAGGAGTATGTAGAATTTTCTTAATAGTGTGAAGCAATGCCTTAAATATTGTTCATGTCAATTGAGAAATCTGCAATGCAATGTGGTGTATGACTTGTGATGTCAACATGACCCATAATTTTTTGCCTTGACCAATGAGCAAGAAGTATTTATAGAGCTTTAGTAAGTTGAAAAAAAATATAATGAATACCAAAGCAATATACTTCTTATGTTTCAAAAAGTACATAAATAAAAAAACAGAAGTTAGCAAATCAAAAGATTGTTGCTACTTATTAAATGATGTGAATAGTAGTCATATTTCAAGTGATAAAATTTGTTAAATATACAAATGGCTGGAATAGTGGCTAATAATTAAATTTCTTTTTGAAAGAATATTAAGTCAATTCACCTAAGTCTTAAAGTCTTAAATTAATCCACTTATTTTAAAGTCCACAATGAAAAGCATATCAAATTTTTGTAGTAGAATTTGAATAACATCTTAGATTAACCTCAAAATATGGCTAATAGTAGCACCAATAGTTGGCAAGGCTTCCTTCATCTTGTATCAAGTCCTATTGGAGTCCAATTATTAGTCCCAATAAGGCTGACTTTGGCAAAATGAGATGTTTCATTTGTAGCCTCCTAAGAAAATGGCTCTTTCTTATTAGGACTGATTTTGTAGTGGAGCTCTAATAAAGTACATGTTTAGCAACCACGTGGTACCAAACTTGACTTTTAGTAATCATTAAGGGAGGGTAGTTGTTAGAAGCCACTTTTATTTGTAAGAGGGACTTCTCAAAAGAAAGAAGGCTATGAGTAGAGGCCTTAGGGAGCTAATGTGGAGCATACATATAGATGCTGGGCTTGATTGCTATTGGCCACCTTGCTTGGTAGAGGAAGAGACTACATCATAGATGCCTTAATCTATGCGCCATAACATCATGTGTCTTAGATATACATATTTATTTAAATAAATAATATTTAGTAGAAGGTAAAATAGATAGATTTAATATTATCTTCTAGCAAAGCTTCTTAGAAGCTTCATATATGCATAATTGATTTTATATATGTTTATAATTGATTGATAGGTTAGAAACTTGGCCAATAAGTTAGCCATGTGTTGCACATGTAGATAGCTTATAGTATAAACTAATGATATGGCATGCACATAGAAAACTTGCCTTACAAGTTAAGACACATGTCTTGCAAATTGGACACATATTAGAGGTTCTATAGAACATTACAATATAGCTCCTAGTTAAATGGTATATATGGATGCAAGAAAGAAGCCTTCTTTATTCTTATCAATGTTTTTCTATTCCTTAGTCTTATTTCAAGTCTTTCTAGTCTTCTTGTCTTTAGCAATAGCCATTTTAGTTTAATATTATACCATCTTTGAATGATTTTTTAGTTTGTTTGAGTGACTTGAGAATTTATTGATCTTTTAGTTCTTTGAAATTCATGTCTTTAACACCATGGCATTCTTTTATTGGTTGTTCTTATTGGCACCAATGAATGGTTATTTTCTTAGTCTTCTATAATATTTGCTATCTTCAAATTTTTTTTTTGTTAATTTATAGAAAGTCCTTATTGTATATGTGATTGGAATAATTACTTTCATGTTTTAGTCAAAATAATTTATAATAAAACACAATTGCTACCTCTACCAAAATAATTTGATATGCTTTTTGCTATTGACTTTGGAACAAATAAAATGATTTATGATGTATATGAATCAATTAAATGTTCTTATTTTTATATGTCTTGAAAATATCCTCATAATTCATAATTATTATTTATTCTTATTAATTTTTGTATCATGAGTGGTTATATAAGTGTAATTTTTAAGTCTATTTTATTAAAAATTCCTTAATTTATTATTTTAGTATTTAATTATCTATTATTAATAATTTTTATTTTTAAAATAAAAATTAATTTATATTTTTAATTTTCTTTTACTTACTTAAATAATTTTTTTTTAAGAAACACCATTTATTTCTTTTATTAAAGGTCAATTTGTAGTGCAACCAAATTATATGTGCAATTTTAATAAATTTTCAATAGATAATTTAGATACAATATGTTGTAATGCCATAAATTAGCATATACTTAGTAAGTTTTTTTAAGATCTTTTAAGATATGCTACATCTTTCTTTATACTTTTTCAGTAATATCTCTCTTTTATCTTTATAAATATTATCCAAATGATATAATATTTGGATTGTAAAATCTTACAAAAAAATTTATTAAAATTTTGGATTTTAATGCCATATACAATTTGTTGTATTATCACACTCTTTTATTTAAAAGTCTTTTATAAAATCCTAAACTTCGTATCAAAATTTAAATCCTTAACTTCTAATCTAATTACATATCATTTTCTTTTATCATCATCTATTTAATTGTTCCTCCAATTCTTATTAAAATTATATTAGCTAATAATATTATTCACCTTTCTAAATCAAATATGTACTTTTGTTTTAAATATGATTTTTTTCCTAAAAAAATATTAAACAAATTTCTTTTAACCTTATAAATATCTTATGAGAGTCAATTACATGATTAAAAGAAAATTTTGATATTTATTTTCAGTCGTTTTTTTTTATCTTTGACTTCATATTTATATTATGTGATTGGTACATCATTTGAAAATGAATTAGTTTATTACAAGATAAAACCTTATAATATCTTACTAATTAAATTTTTCATCCATGCTTTCAAATTTTTTGTTTATTTTGGCAATATATATTTTTATTAAATATAATAATATTTTTATAATAAATAAGTTTTTTTATTTCTCATTGCCAATTAAAATCAATGATAATCTAAATACGTATTACTTATAGAATAAACTTATCTTCTTCCAAATTCTTTGAAAACTCATCTATTATTAAATTAGAATTTATATTTCTAATATTTAATTTATTCACTATTTATATGTCTTAAATAAATCTAAATGTTTTATTTTTTTAAGATATAATAGTCTATTGTTTAGCATATGGTACTATATAAGGTTATAAAATACATATATTATTATTTTCTTTAAACTATTCTATAATTTTGACAAATGGATATTTATTATTAAAATTAGTTATAAATTTTATAATACATTTAAAATAATAAAAAATAAAACTAAAGCTAGAATATTTAGGTTAATACAAATAATCTTCTAAAATTTAAATAAAAATACTTTATCATGATGTGTTAATATATTTTTAGAAGCATATTTCTTTTATTAAGAAATCATTACATCTAATTTCTAATCCATCAAATTTTGTATCTATAAATTAATATATATTTTTTTCTTGAATTCATTAAATTTGATTATATCAAAATATTTATAATATATTTTTTTTCAATTCAATAATAGTGATAATGCTATGGATTTAATCTTTTGTTACAAAAATATTATCACGTACAAACATACCTATTCTAGTAATTACCTATATGATTAGGTAGAAGTAAGTAAAAATAAATAAAAGTAGATTAATTTTATGATATCTTCTAAAAAACCTTCCTAGAAACTTCATAGATATGGTTTTGACTTTATATGTATTTTTAGTTAACTTTTAAGTTAAAAACTTGGTCAATAAGTTAGCC